ATGCATTAAAGAGGTGAGATAAGAAAAACACTTAGAAGAGAAAGAGAAATTTAGAACATGACTTCAGAATGCCATATGTAACAATTTTGGGTTGCTCTCAGTGTTATAACAAGAAGTGCATTTTAAGACGTCCAGTCACATCCATGCAGTGCCACAGGGGCATACTTGTCACAGCCTTATTACATTGGGAACAGTATTTGCAGAAATTAAAAATCTGTGTATATGCATTCTTTTAACACTTTGAGTCCATTGATATTTAAATTAAACTCCCTCTACTGAAGGGTTTTATGTATCATTAAGCAATTCATAACTTCTCTAATTCTTTATATAAAAACCTGAAATTTGGGCACACAAAAATATAATCTTTCCTCAGGTGCCTTGCAAACAAATAGACTTATTATGGTTGTAAATCCTGAGGCTGCTACAGCATAATAAGTGTCCACAAAAGAAGACAAAATATTTTAATACATTTTAAACACTGCAGACTTTTCATCAGCTGGACTAAATTCACTTAACACTCCCAACAATTTATCTTTGAGTTGCAATTCTCAAAGCACTTTCCTAAACAGAGCCCCACAATACAGAGGCATAAGCTTCTTGTAGCTTTTCCTGTTTGGTGCTTGCCCATGTCCTCACACACTTTGCAGGTTCACTGAGGTTGACCCACTCATGTGTGTTGCTGAAAGTCTGTACAGAAAATTATATTTTCTGTTAAGTCTGCCTGCAGAAGCACTCCTTGCCCATTCCCAAATATCTTGCCATGCACCACTGAGGCCTTCAGCAACCATCTTGCAGAACAGCTTTAATAGGATGGTTTTTCTGTTCCTATTGTGCAGTGTGTGTGGGTATTTACAATGCACAGATAAGAGATGAAACAGGACCATCTTCTGCCTCGTTGCTGATTCTGTCTGGAGTGAGCAATATGAACATGCTAATATATGATTAGACTTGTCGACACCAGTTCTGTATTTATGTAATCCATAACTGCTGCATGTTTTGCTTGTAGGTGCTGTCATCTGTGTGGCAGTGCGCAACCATCACATTGGTAAGGGCAATACCAAAAATGTGAATGTTTCTGGTGTCTTTCCATTTTATAGCCAAGGGGAGTTGTCCTTGGCAAGCAGGTGCTTCCCATACCTTCAGTTTTTTAATGCATGTTTAGGTAGCATTTTACTATTGGGCATTACTGTGTCCATAGATATGTCCACAGATGACCAGAAAGCTTGGGGCTAGGAAACCATCCATATACACAGTATGCCCCTTGTTCATCACTTGTACACAGAGCCTTTTCCCAACACTGAATGTAGTACTGTGATCTGAATTAGTAAGATGTGTGCCACCAGAAATTTCAGTATTATGTTCACAGCCATTATTTTCTTCACACAGCTGAAAGATCTTGATTTCATACTTACTGTCTTCTCCTTCCTGTACACCTGGAAGAATATGTGCCCTTGAAATGCATAAATTGCCTTATTGATTGTGAGTTCTTTCTCAGGCATGTATTTACTTATTCATGGAGCTGAGCCCTTCTTGAGGAGCCACCAATTCTGCAGCTACTGAAAAATTTCCCAGCATTTTATGGATCCCAAAGGTTCATTACCATGTTCACAAGAGCCCTCCACTGGTCCCTATCCTGAGCCAGATCAATCTAATCCATACCATCCCATCCTATCTCTCTAAGATCAATTTTAATATTGTCCACCCACCTACACCTTGGTCTTTCCAGTGGTCTCTTTCCTTCTGGCTTTCCCACCAATATCCTATACGCATTCCTCATCTCCCAATTCGTGCTACATGCCCTGCCCACCTCATCCTCCTTGACTTGATCATTCTAATTATACTTGGAGAAGAGTACAAGTAATGAAGCTCCTCAGGCATGTATACTTCTCAAAATTTTCGAATTTAAGCCATGTAATATGGGGTAGATTTTGAATAAGGGGTGATAACTCGCTTAACCCTTAGGTATTTGTGTGTCATTATTGTTTGACATGCAGCGTAGCCAAATAATAAAGTCTTATGAGCCATACCAAATGATGCTGTATAGTTGGCTTGCATCATTGGTCTTTTGCTCCAATAATCATGCACTGATAACTGACACAACAGGCATGTGAATGGCAACTGCACAGAGCATTTTGAGGTCCTGTAACGTGACAGGTTTTCCACTGCAAATATAGGCTTCTTTCCAAAGGACCCTCATGTCCTCCTAGTTTGTCTGTTGCACTCTGTACAGGTTGGTTTTATCCACCATGATTTTGAAAATTTCATTAGCAAAACTGATTCTGAAAATTTGTATTGGTGAGCTGTCCTCTGTAATGGAAGAAATATACTTGTCCCTGACAAGCCAGAAAATGCAAGTCTCTGTACTGTTGCAATTTTGTCACTTCATCCTAATTCAGAATCAGAGCCCGGTTGTTTAGGTTTTGCTGCCAGTGTTCTTTTATGACTCGTGCCTGTCTCCAGCTTAGCAGAAATTTCCTCTTCACTGCTAATGCTACTGCTGCCACTAAAACAGAAGTGTTCTGAAAAATTTCATTACATTCCTCTGAATTTGAACCACTTCTAATTTCTGATATTGCCTGCCCTGAGGGACGTCTTGGCCACGAAGAATAACCTGCACTTGTAACATGCTGAGTATTCCATCTTGCTCAGACCCCACTAAGAACTGCAATGAGCTTATGTTAGATCTCTGAACTCTTAAATTCTAATCTCATAACCATAAAGAGGCTAGTGTTTGTGTCTTCACCTTGGACTCAGTATTTGAGGCAATGAAGATGGCTCCTTGCTTATGAAAGAAAACTGAACACATGCAGATAGTGCTGAAGTTAGTTCAGTGTTTGGTTCAAGATGGCAGAGCCTGATTTTATTAAGAAGTCATGAAACCTGCTGGCACACACCAAACTAGGAGCTTGGAGCTATTGTCAAGTGAAAAGCTCATGTCAATAATGTAGGTAATCCTTTTTCTATGACTTCTTTTAATAATTGTGTTAGTAATAGTACTGTCACAGTTGTTTTGGTGAGATGATCCAGATGGTAGCAGTACTCATATTACCACCAGAGAGACCAATGTTATGTACATTAACAAGAGTAGGAATTATACAACTATATATTAAATACATTAATTACAAGCTTTATTAAGCAAACCAGGGAAGTTAGAAATTTGTATATTGCTGAAGCATATATTTATGATGCTGAGCACACATGTAACTTCAAACATTCTGTATGACCAAAAGCATTTTTGTTAATGCACTCAGCACAAAGAATGTGACTTGACTTATGGGCATAGTGAAAGGCCAGAGAGTTGTCCTGTAAGTAAAGTAGTCCCCAGGGGATTAAAAAAGTCACATCCAGACTGCTTTAGAATTTAATTTGGAAGATATCTCAAGAATTAATGTGGAATGTGGTATTGGTGTTGTTTACAGTATACTATGTTATGTGGGCATGCCCCATTCCAAGTCCAGCCCGGAGATGATGGTGCGGCTGTGATGGCCAGGATTAAAGGGGAAGAATTCGGTTCCGACATTGATGCCTTGGATCACATTTCTTTGGAAGCAAAATATGTGACCAAAGGTAAGACTTCTGATAAATATGCCAAACTTGAAAGTAGACAGGAGAAATAGGATTTCCTTACCAGTAAGATACTGTTACATGACACCAAATATATTTATTTTTTCTTGAAGTGCAATTAAGACAGAATTAATCTTAACAGGACAAAAATTATGTTTTTAGTTTTGTCACAAATTTGAACAGTGATTCCTTTTTAAAGTTTAAGTTAATGTAAAATGGTTATCCAGGTTATCTTCTGTTTGGCGTTTGTCTGCGAAACCTCATTTTGATGAGTATTGGTTCTCTTTATTCATGTTATCTGTTTGTGTCAGTTAACATTTTTCAGTTGAGATGATGGGTGTGTGTATTGAGCCGTCTTACATCTGCTACCACTTGTACCGTCTTACGGTCTGCTACCACAGCACCGTCACTCTCTGGCACCTTTCGGCTCCGTCTACCCTTCCTCAATCGGAGGGGAAACGTTGATCCGTCATATGGCTCTCGTGCTGTGCTCACACGCTCCCTAAGTTAGAGTAAGGGATCCAAGCTAGCAGCGTGGTAAATGTAGTTACAAATGATGGCAATCAATATATTAACAAATAACAGAATTTAATATACACAACAGAAATTAAACAGAACAACTGAACTAACTGCACATTTACATGCTCGCACACAGCGGCATCTAACTCGGGCAGAATGGCCCATATTTACTGGCGCAACAATTTGCCTTGGTTGCTTGAAAACATAACTACTACATTATAGCCGGGCCACAGGCTGAGTCTAAATTAAATACACAATATAAATTATAAAAACAGATTTAACCAAACTGGTACGAGTCGCCGCCGTCCTACAAACCCAACGACAGGCGACCGCGGGCGATCTCGTCGGCCGTGAACCAGCCCAGTACTTGCCGAAACCAAATTTGGACTCCCAGCCGAACAGGAATTTGACAGTCGCTCCGGCTGGCTCGGCGCCGCGAGCAAGGCCCTATGGATCCATAACCAGAACTGAACTCCGAACTCGAATTAACTTCCAAGCAAGGCTCCCAGGGGTAGAAAGGAGGGGAGAGGGCAATACCACGTGACCCAGTCCCGCATGGGGATGGGGTGGGGGTTAAGTTTAAGAACCTCGATCAAGGGGCTGGAAGCCCATGACGTCTTACCGGAGCCACTGCATGGCTCAGCATGGATGCATGAATAAATCAGTTGATTCAGACAAATATCATGTGTGTTTACAAAACCCACTCTGCTGAATGTAAGTTTACATAGTTTGTTAGATCTTGCAACATAAATGAATGTATGTAAGAGCAGATATTCTCAAAATATGGATAACCTTTCTGAATTCCTTAAGTTTCAGTCAAGTTATTACTCATTAAGGTGTGATGTTACACTGTGTATTTACTTTCATTAGCTCCATAGTAGTAGTTTATGTAATGCTTGGTACACTTCTGTGAACTACAGTTATGATGTTAATTTGAGTCATCTGTTTTACAGGTCTTCTAACAGCAGATCCTAAGGACAGACTGAAATTGAGTGACCTGACTTACAATGGATGGGTGCAAGGATTCAGTGTGATAGCTGAGCCCACAACACTGCTTCTGATTCCAGACAGTGCTTTCCACGTGGCTTATCAGGAGGTCAGTAGTGTGATATTTTTGTACTTGTTTCATTGTTACCTGTATAAAGTTATTCTATATCATGCGCATTTCCATCTGTGGTATAAATATGTATCTTCAATTTTGCTCATTCTGTTTCGTTCCACTAAAAGATCAAGGTGTTCTCTATGATAGAGAAAGACTGTGAATAACTGATATCATTCAGTAACAGAAACTGCCATAACAAATGCAGAAACATTTGGAAAGAATTCTTGAAAACAGTAATATCAATAGTAATGGGTTTTAAATATTTCAAAGGCAGGTATTGTATGAATCATGAGATTCTAGAAGCATTCTTAGGATCAGAAAGAGAACATCTTTCATTATAGCTGTGATTTTTTTTAATATCATCTTTACGCATGCAAGCAGCTGAAGTTCATTGAACAGACTATTTAGAAGCTTAAGAAAATCATGCTGTACTTTTTTTTTCTTTGGCACTACAGCCCCAGTGGGCCTAGACCTACCTCCATGAACTTCTCCATTCATTTCAGTTTTTCTAGATCTTACACATTCGGTAGGACTCCTTGGGCGGGTGATCAGCTCGTCGCAAGGCCTATACCTGTACACAAACACAGAAAAACGCACACACACAAACTAAACATCCATGCCCTGAGTGGGATTCAAACCCACGATCCCGGTTTCCAAACGAGCGAAGAGAATACTTGCCTTAGACCGCTCGGCTACCGTGACTGGCCATTCTGTACTTTACACTTTATGGGGAGCTGCTATAAAACGTGGACTGTATCCTTCTGAATGGGATACTTGGGATCAGCCTCAGTTCTGCTTTAAGTGGGGTGATGGGGAGTGGAACAAGATGTTTTCCTGAAATCAGTGTACAGTCCAGAATGACCCCACACCCCTCCAGAAGCAGAGTGCATGTTGTTACACAAAGAATAAAAGCACTCTCATCTCAGTTTTGGAGTTCATATTTTACAAACCCACCGTTCTTTTAGCTTACATACTTGAAACATCTTGCTTGCATTGATATCTCACTTCACCCTCAAAGGTCATGTACATGTCACAGTCCTAGTTCAAAAGCTGTTAAGTGTGGGCCTTTTGATCAGTCGGCTTTTAGTTTTGTGACCTAGTGTATCCTCCTGTTTCTCCAAGCTTATTTAAAGGATCTGTCATGGTAGGATGGTCAGTGTGTCTGGTTAGTTTTTCTCCAGGGACATTCTAGTCATTGTATGTACCTCTTAACAAAACATATTAATTCAGTGTTTATATTATTTCATGGGGGCACCCAGTAGCATAATTGGTTGAGGCACTATGCTACAAGCTGGAAGGTTGCGGGTTGAAGTCCTGATGAGGTCATTGGATTTTTTCAATTGACCTAATCCTTCCAGCTGCACTATGGCCCTGGGGTTGACTCAGCCTCTAACACAAATGAGTACCAGGAATTTTCCTGCAGGGTAAAGTGAGGCCGGTGCATAGGGCTGACAACCCTACCACCATCTGTGAGCAGATTGTATAGATAATGTGGGACCCTCAATGTCTCACAACCCTATGGTCCTCCAAGGCCTGTTACAGGGATAGCTTTACCTTATTATTTCATGAAGTAATTTGCAGCAGACTGGGTAAAAGCCCCATAGTCCAGATTAAAGTGCTTTGTAAATGTGAAAATGTTTGAAGGTGTAGTGGAATTGTTGTGAAGTACATGCATGGGAAGAACAAGCCTGTTTTGCACTCTGCATTGTTTGGCAGTTGTACCTTGATTCTTTTCTTGCAAGTTTTTTCTCTCTCTTGTGAGGAAATGCAATTGCAATAAACTGAATAATGTTTTATTGTGGCCAGGTTGTTGTGGATGATGAGTGGGCACAGAGAACATGGACAGAGGAACTGTCAACCGACACATGCAGCTATTCTACACCCAGCACTCATTCTGCTACCAGTTCTTCCGGTAAGATACCTTAATTTTATTTATGTATTTATTTATTTTAGCATCCTGTTGGACTGATTCATGTCCATGATGTGTATTTGTACCAACTGTCTTACAGTGCACACAACTTCACCTTTCTCTTCACTTTTGTTGGTAGTAAAGTTGCGTGTTTAACTGTTCTTTCTTTTTGTATAAGAATTTTATTTCGTTTTTTATACGTGAAATTTGAGCTTGTGTTTTTGTTTTTCTTGCTGCATCATTATATTCTGGTATATTAATGTGGGCTTATTTCGGTATTAACTTATTCTTCAAACATGTCTTATTTAAATTTATGTTGGCATTGCAATGTAATAGTTTATGTTTACAATTCATGTATTGGTATACACTTCTAGTATGACTACTATTAATAATGTTATATTTTAGCATCCTGTTGCACTGATTCACGTCCACCTTGGTGAAATTGTGTGCACTGTAAGACGGTTGGTACAAATACAAATCATGGACTTAATTTTATTTGAGAAGAAACCAATTTGTGCAATTTGAAAAATGTTACAGAAACTGTAGACTCTTGCATAGAGCTCTTGAGTGTGTAAATATTATACCTCATCCAACCTCTTCCTGTCTACTTCCCATTAACTTGATTGAGCTAATGTCTTGGCTATCCAAGTGGCCTTTTCTGCTTGAGTCCTAACATCAGTACTCTCTGAAGAATTCTATGATTTTCTATCCTTTTAATATGATCAGAACATCAAAATCTTTTCATAAATTTTCTTCACATTTCGTCCATTCTCAGTTTCTAATTTTTAATTTTGATATTCTTTTTCCTACCTATCACTATCTTCCTCTCCTGTGAACATTGCCCAGCAGTAACTTACAAGTGCAAGAGGTTGAGCGATGATGTTTGTTTGTAATTTAAGCCTTGAAAGAATGGAACCACAGGTGATCCTCTGCTGAAAGGGTACTGACCTGTTTTAGCTTGGTACAAAATATAAAAGAGTGGATCTGACAAAATTCTCTTATGGTAATACATTTATAATTGAGGAGTGCGACCATTTTACATACATATGTGCCTCTTACAGTCCTCATTCTTCAAGCATGATTGCAGATATTATATGAACAATAATAATACAAGCAGTGAACTTGGTATTTGCAGGTGTGCCTTTGGCTGAAGTGGTTTCTGGGTCATCAGCATCAGCCATCAGCCATGTGACAGAGGACAAGTCACATAACAGTGGCTTAACGTTATTCGTTACTTCTGGAGGACCATTAATACAGCCCAGAAAAAGAAAAAGGAGTGAAGCTGCCAGTTCATTTTTTTTAACTTATGAGAATTATTATGATGATAATTATATTAATGTTAAGTGCAAGAAGAGGAGATATACTGCATTATGATTAAATAAATAAATATTAATTAATTATAATAATTAAATAAATTAAATAAATATGTGAAATGTATAGAATTATTTGTTGTTGTAATGTCAATGGCCAGAGCATTTCTGACCTGTAAACAACCTTCAGTCGTGTAAGTGCACTCAACAATAGGATAAAAGTTTATAGTTCGTTGCTAGGCAACAGTCAGTGTGCCAGTGGGTTGGCTTGATGGCTATCACGTGACTGGCTTTCTATGGAGTCTGCGTCTTGACCGCTGCCATGCAACAGCATGGTAAACATCCCTCTCCAACAATAGAGGCTGTTTTCTGTGTTCATCATATGAAGAACTGGCGTGTGATGAGAAGACTTTACTCATGTGTAATATTTGGAGTGATTTGAAGCACTGGTTCCTGTGTTCATCACCGTGTTCACAAGAGCCCTCCACTGGTCCCTATCCTGAACCAGATCAATCCAATCCGTACCATCCCATCCTATCTCTCTAAGATCCATTCTAATATTGTCCACCCACCTATGACTTGGTCTTCCCTGTGGTCTCTTTCCTTCTGGCTTTCCCAGCAATATCCTATATGCATTCGTCTCCCCCATTCATCCTACATGACCTGCCCACCATGACCATACAGAACCACAGGCAAAATTATAGTTTTGTATATTATAATTTTTATGTTTTTGGACACCAGACGAGAAGACAAAAGGTTCTGGTCTGAATGGTCGCCTCTTAATTTCTTCATGAATCAGGTTTCGATCTGTTATCATTGTTCCCAAATATCTGAACTGTGCCACATTTTCAAAACTTCTGTTTCCTACCTTTATGTCATGATTTTGCCCTGCATTTTGGTGACGAGACAGTAACATATGGACGTAGTATTCTCAGAGTTTACTTCTAGATCAACCTCTTTACTTTTGTCAATTAAAGTTTGTGTGTATTTCTTTATGGTGTCTACATTATCACCCAGTATATTCACATCATCGGCCTAGACCAACAGCTGATATGTCCCATTTAATTTCAGTCCCAACTGGTTTCTCTGGACATATTCTAAAGTAAAGTAAAAAAGGAATGGCGATAAAGCATCTCCTAGCTTTAGACCAGGGGTCTCCAAACTTTTTGAACTGTGGGCCACATTAGGTTATTCAGTGGTTTCAATGGCCCGGATAAAATGAGAAATTAATAACTCTAGTTATATGAGTTTTATTGAAAGCACAGAATTTTATAAACTAAATACAAAGTACGTGAGAATAAATTATCATATATCAATGACAACAGACAGTAGCAGCAAATGCTCATATTCTCATCACAAATTATAATAAAACAATTAATGTGAATGATGGAACTCTTTCTGCATTCTTAAAATCTGATTAAATTGAGGTTCAAATTTTGAAACTCTAATCACAAGTAGCGACTTTACATGTTCATCGGATAAATTTGCCCTGTATTTCGACTTGATGTACTTCATCTGGGAAAAAGTTTGTTCACACAGATATGTCATCCCAAAAATGGAGATAAATTTACAAGCAAATTTCTTTAAATTTGGAAATTGATCAGAGTTCAGAAATTCCTTCCGNCCTTGTATTTGTCTTTAATATGATAATTTTCCTGAAGTTCAATAATTTCCATTTGAATTTGACTTGGGACATCTGCAGCATCACAATAAAACGGATTTTGAAACAATCTAATTTCCTGAGCACTGGCATCCAAATCAGCAAATCGCTTCCGAAATTGTTCTTTAAAATCTGAAATGACTAAATTTGCATACGAGGAAGGAAATTCAGCTTCACCCTTTTTATGCAACTCTGCACAGTATAGCATATGAACAAAGTTACAATTTTTCACTTGGCTTTCCAGAAGTATCAACTTTGCTCTGAGCAAAACTGGGCATAAGTTGCCATTAATACAAAAATGGTAATAGGTACAACACAGGCGGTGATGATTGTTACAATTACACTGCACCACTGCAAGAAGTCTTGTGCACAAGATGGCTAGTAACGAACTGCTTGCGCTACCTACATTGCTGCAAAGTGACACTGCTGATCGAGGCCGAACAAGTACGAAGAAATACCGCGCAGTATACGGTCCAGAATTAGTAAAATTGTGGATAATATTAATATTAACATAATATGGAATATCAGTATATTTTAAACACAGTTTGAATTTGAAATCTATGAACAAGTATTTTTCTTACCAGTACTCATTGGAAAATTAGTTCAGTTTGTGCATTTCTGTACAATTCTTTCGCGGGCCGGATAAAATCACATGGCGGGCCGCATGTGGTCCGCGGCCCATAGTTTGGAGACCCTTGCTTTAGACCATTCTTGATAGGAAATTTATCAGACAAATGTATACCTACATGGACTTTACTAGACATTTCGTTTAAACACATTTTAATCAACCTAACTAGTTTCACGGGTGTCCCAAACTCTAACAAAATATTGTATAATACTTCCCTTCTAACTGAATCATAGGCTTTCTTGAAGTCTATGAATAGCTGATGTACTGTCTCATCGTACTCCAATTTTTTCTCCAATATATGACGAACGCAAAAGATCTGATCTGTAGCTGATCTGTTACATCGAAACCAACCCTGATGATCCCCAATAATTTCACCTATATACTGACTTAACCTTGAAAGAAGAATATTGGACAAGATTTTATGAAGTTGATAGCAGTGATATCCCCCAATAATTACTGCAGTCAGATTCATCACCCTTCTTGTGAACTGGTACAATAATAGACTCCTTCCACCGATCTGGTAATTTTTCCTTATGCCAAATAGAAGTAATTAGATTGTGGATCTTAGAACATAATATTTTGCCTCCTGCTTCAGTAAGTTCTGCCAGAATTTGATCACTACCTAGCAATTTATACCGTTTCAATTTTACAATAGCACTTTCAACCTCAAAAGGTCTAGGATAAGGTACTAACGGCTCAGCTGTATGGATTTCTGTCTGCCTAACATCACTGACCCTATGTACATTCAATAACTGAGAGAAGTATTTCCTCCACCTATTCCAAATGATGTCGGAATCTCCAAGCAGATCACCATTCTCATCCTTCACTAAGTTACTGCTAGGTTGGTAACCCCTTTTAAAGTCAATTATTCCTCTATACAGGTCTCTAATGTTCTTGTTCTTACTGTTCATTTCAGGCTCGTCAATTTTGTCTTTCAGATATTCTCTCTTTTTGTTCATGAAATGCCTGCTGGTTTCACGTCTTATATTGTTCAAATTATCCCTATTTAACTCACTTGGATCCTGTAACCATTGCACTTTGGCCTAGTTTCTTTGATCTTATAATTTTGAGCATCCTTCATCAAACCATAGCTTGTGTTTCTTCGGTTCATAATAACCTAGACTCTCTTTGGCAGACATTTTTATATTCTCTGTAATAGTTTCCCAAGTTTTATTAACATCCACCTCAGTGTCAAAGTTTTCCAAAGCCGCAAACCTATTTGAGATTTCAACACGATACTGCTCTTTACCCTCTACCTCATTTAATTTCTTGAGATTGAACCTCTCCATATGAACTCTGTGTGTTGTTTTTTTTGCTCACTGCCAGTCTTTCCCTAACCTTTGCCACCACCAGGTAGTGGTCAGTATCACAATCTGCTGCCCTGAATGATCGGACATCAAGTATACTTGAGTGCCGTCTCCTATCTATCAAAATATGGTCTATTTGATTGTGTATCTTCCCATCAGGAGATGTCCAAGTAAATTTATGGATGTTACGATGTGGGAACATTGTACTTTTCGACAGTAAGATTTTTTGATGTGGCAAAGTTTACTACTCTAACTCCATCATCATTACTAATATCATGCAAACTCTCATTCCCAATTGTTGGTTTGAAAATGTCTTCCCTCCCTACTTTGGCATTGAAATCTCCTAACAAAATTTTCATAGGGTACTTTGGAAATTTATCAAATACGTGTTCTTGTTCTTCATAGAATCTGTCCTTTATGTCATCAATTTTATCTCCTGTTGTTGCGTGAACATTCAAAACAATGATATCACACCAGTGACCTTTTAGTATGATATACGATATCCTATCACTAATGAATTCTACCCTCTTAACTGCTGATACAATTCTCTTATGTATGAAAAAACCTGTACCTAATTCATGATTTTCATTCCCTTTTCCACAGAAAAATGTATAGCCTCCTGCTGGTGCGATGCCACCTCCATCCCATCTGACCTCCTGTACTCCCGCTAAATCTGACTTATATATATTAAGATTTCTTCTGCCACTGCCCTGAGCGAACCTGCCCTATACAAACTTCGTACATTCCAAGTGCCAAATCTCATATCCATTTTCATTAGCTTAGGTCGTTTGTCCAAGGAATCAGTCCAGGTCCGAGACTTGGTGTTCATTTTCATAACATAATGATTTTTTACAGTGAGGGGTTGTTAGCCCCACGCCCAACCCCCAAGCTGGAGGGGAACCCTTGTCAGCTGTCTGCAACTGCTTATTCAATATATTCACAGCTTCCCTCCAAAACTGGAGGGTGTCTCCTCCATCCGCAACCTGAGGACGCACCATGCCATGGTCACAGGGACCCACCTAACATGGTCCCCTGCATAATCACCATCACTAAATGCTTCCAGTTTCACAGTTTCGGAGTCAGATGAGGTATATTTTATTCCTGAATCTCATGTACCTTTCACATACCTAAGGGTCCTTTTCACATTTTGAACAGCTATTTTGTCAGGATTTTCCAAGTTTCGACTTTCCACATTTACAGCGAATGCCATACTGGGTCTGGTTTTAGAAGTCATATGTAGCAGGCTTCCTACAGCTTCTCTGTAAGGAAATCTTGTGTCATTATCTCCTTCGTCATTTGTTGGTGGGGTCGTGGCCATGGGTGTTTTCTTTTCTCGATTTTCTTGCATGTTGTATTTTTCCAACATTTGGCCTGCATAGTTGGTTTGAGAGATATGTAGCCCATCTGATTGCCTCTCAATTTGTATTCCTAAATAAACTTTTGGATTTGTGGTTTTTGGTATCTGGAATTGATTTTCCATTTTCAGCAAAATTTCCTCTATTT